GAAGGAAAGAAGGAAGGAAGGAAGGAAGGAAGGTAGGTAGGTAGCTAGGTAGCTAGGTAGCTAGGTAGCTAGGTAGCTAGATAGGTAGGTAGGTAGGTAGGTAGGTAGGTAGGTAGGTAGGTTGGTGGGTAGGTGGGTAGGTAGGTAGGTAGGTAGGTAGGTAGGTAGGTAGGTAGGTAGGAGGGAGGTAGGGAGGTAGGTAGGTAGGTAGGTAGGTAGGTAGGTAGGTAGGTAGGTACACCTACCTACCTACCTACCTACCTACCTACCTACCTACCTACCTCCCACCAACCCACCGACCTCCTACCTACCTACCTACCTACCTACCTACCTGCCTACCTACCTACCTACCTACCTACCTACCTACCTACTTAGGGAGGTAGGTAGGTAGGTAGGTAGGTAGGTAGGTAGGTAGGTAGGTAGGTAGGTAGGTAGGTAGCTAGGTAGGTTAGGTAGGTAGGTTAGGTAGGTTAGGTAGGTTAGGTAGGTTAGGTAGGTTAGGTAGGTTAGGTAGGCAAGGTAGGTTAGGTAGGCAGGTAGGCAGGTAGGCAGGTAGGCAGGTAGGCAGGTAGGCAGGCAGGCAGGCAGATAGGTAGAGGTGGGTAGGTGGGTGGGTAGGTACAGGCAGTGGTGGTAGGCAGGCAGCAGGTAGGCAGCAGGCAGGCTGGTAGGTAGGTAGGCAGGTAGGCAGGCAGGTAGGTAGGCAAGTAAGTATGTTTGCATGTATGTGTCTATCTTTTCATGAAGTCAGGATCTTCGGAACTGCAAAATGCGCTTAGTGGGATTGAGCTTTGGGAGTTTAGGTTTAGGTTTTAGGGTCTAGGGAGTATATCATTCATGTAATTTGTTTTGTCCGCGATGGCGACAAACAGGCGTCCATGGAGATTGGTTGTGGAAGTCTTTGTCTCAGAAGAAAGCCCACAACCCTCAAGCTTTTTCGGACAGTCCCGCGCAAAGCCATCGGGATTCAAGCAGCAAAAGCAATTCTGAGAGGATTGTGCTCACGCAGTGCATGAAGAACATACTTACCTACATGGTTAGAATACCCTGAGCCCGAAACAGCCCTAAACCGAAAGGAAAAAATGGCTTTTCGGTCGGAACGGGGAGAGGGTCAATTTCCAATTCTGGAGCGCCGTAATCTGGTCGTTCGCGGCATGCATGTACCAATGCCCCTCGCCATATCCCCGTGTCTGAGTGACTCCATTTTTGTGCGGGCCAAGGTTCAGGGTTCAGGGATGTGAGGCTGGCTGTTGCAACCGTAAACCGCTTAACCGAGAATCTAAGCCCCCAAAACCCAATTGCCTTACACCCAAGGTCCTCATACAACCCTAAACCCTAAACCCTAAACCCTAAACCCTAAACCCCTAAACCCTACACCCTAAACCCTTGTCGATATCTTCTAGAAGCCCCAGAGGATTCTCCCCCCAAAATCCTGAACCTGAAAACGGCTAGCCATTCGTCCCTAACGTAGGGGCCTGGATAATTGGTAATTCTTTAGGCCCCTACCTAAACCCTAAACCTTAAACCCTAAACGGCCTGTGGATGTGCGGAGACGCAGGCAAAGGGCAGGTCGGAACCAAACTTCGTTCTTTGGAAGGTCTCGGCAGGCAGGGCTTATGGGGTTTAGGGTTTAGGGGTTTAGGGGTTTAGGGTTTAGGGTTAGGGATACACTATGAAGCTTCCATAACATGGGTAGCTATTCGGGTACTTTTTATATAAGGGTGCCGTACTATTTTGGGGAGCTGAAAAGGGACCCTAATTTAGAGAACTACCCACATGTTCTATAAGGACGTGATAAGGTTTCGGAGCAGGGCAATAGTTTCAGTAGGCTTGTGGTGTATGTTGCAGGGTATACTTGTATCTGGAACCCGCGGGAATAGTATTACTACGTAGTTAGCAGGCTTCTTGATTATGGCGGCTGGGGCTTGGGAAGATGAGGGCTAAGGATTTACAGTTACGGCTTAGGGCCCTAAACCCTAAACCCTAAACCCTAAACCCTTAAACCCTAAACCCTAAACCCTAAACCCTAAACCCTAAAACCCTAAATTCATCGTTCAGGGATTCTACCCAAAGCCTCCAACACCCCAATCCTTAAATTCATGACTAAGCAAGGTATAATACTGCTGAAACAAGCGGGCAGCTCAGAGCACATAGGGCTTCGCCGGATGCCTTTGTTAGAGCTGTAAGGTTCTATGCAGGGTGTAGAAAAGGGTCTTTATCAGGTATTATAAAGTATACTGAACTTGGGACCCTTGCAAAAACTATAATTTCAGGTGTTTCTTAGGGATTACTAAGATATAGGGCTGTGTCCATTTTAAAAAAGGTCACACGGAAGTGTTGCCGCCTTGATGAGGTGTCTATGTATTGACTCCGGGTGCAGTGAATGCTGTAGCGACAGAGCAGCGATCTACTGTAGCGGCCTTATTAGAACAGGGTTTTGCGCCTAAGGAAAAATATTGGTAGTTACAAAGGCTTCTATATCACACTGCCCTCAAGCCGAGAACCCCAGAATGCAGCATGCAAGACTGACGCAGCCTTTCGCAGTTCTTTGACGACCTTGTCCAACACTTTCTTCCGCTTCTCCTCACTCTGCGTCGTTCGGCAGGGTTTAGGGTCCCTGGTAAAGCCCAAAACCCTACTTAGAGGTTAGAGCCGTGCACCAGCGAAGCCTCCACTACCGCGTCGAGGAACAGCTGCAGGCTCTATCATAATTCAGCACCAGTTGGAGCATATGTTCACTTATAGAATCGAAGGCCGACAAAAACCCAAAACTCTCAACCCTCAACCCTAAACCCTGAACCCTCAACCCTAAACCCTAAACCCTCAACCCTGAACCCTCAACCCTCAACTCTCAACCTTAGAGTGCAAGCTGAAGCCGGGCTCCGCAGGGATCATGTCGATCTTGTTCAGGATGACGACCTTCAGAGAGCCAACGCTGGATCCGTTGAATGTAGGGGCGTTGGGTTTAGGGTTTAGGGTCTAGGGGCATTACTAGCTAGAATAGGGTTTCGGGGTACATTATACTCTAGTAGTTATAACAAGGAGCCCCCCAAGATAGACCCTAAACCCTAAACCCTAAACCCTATACTATACTCTAATTATAACAAGGAACCCCCGAAGATAGTATAGGTAAATATTTTAGGCTCCTACATTAATTAGGGTTTCGTGAAGGGAAACTGAGATCCTTCATCCTGGGGTTTTTCAGGGTTTAGGGGAAAACTTCAATCCCAAACCCGCAAAACCCTTGTAGATCCCTCTTAAAGTGCTACAAACACCCCCACAAAACCCTTGCATCACAGCCGTGTACAATAAAGAAACCCTGCCCTTATAAAACCGTTGTGAACACCGTGCAAAGCGCTATGCAATCCTGGAATTTAGGAGATGGAGACTCGACTTTGGCGCATGCTCCATACCAAAGTCTAAAACGCGAAAACTCTAAAAAAATCCAAAAGCTGCGACTGGGTCTGAATACTTAGTGGGATTAAGGGCGTTGTTTTTGCTTTAGGGGTTTGGGTTTGGGTTGATAATATCCGTTTCTACCCTCGACCTCACACCCTCAACCCTAAACCCTAAAATGGCAGTGCAGCTCGGGGCACGAGCTGGTTCGCCAAGATTTCGGCAACCACCATGCACTCGGCCGTCTGCGTTTGAATGCCCTCACCGCAGGCAGGGAACAGAGCCCAATTGACGCATGAGACGAGGATGCTGATGACGATGGTAACAATGATGGCGATGATGATGGTTCTGGTGAAGATCACGAAGATACCCATAGTTGAATATGCAAAATACATAAGAACACGAAGAAAACTATGATTGTTCTATAATAGCTGTGTCGGTTTTACTGTAGAAACATAAGTAGCATACTAATGGTAGTAGCAATCGCCAAAGTAGTAGAACTAGTGTTAGCAGTAGTCTCTGTAATCGTAGTGGCAATACTAGCCATCACAACAATAATAGCGAGACTAGAATCAATAATAGCAGTAATACGTGAATGACCATTCTGTAGCCCAAGCTTTGCTGCTCGAGTCAGGCTGAACCCTAAACCCTAAACCGGGGCTTTCTGAGAAAACGAAGTTTTCCCAAGGCGTAGAGGGCACTTCTTCGCTTACTTGTACTTGAGTGGCTTCAGGGTGTTAGGATTTATAAGCTTTAGGGTTGAAGGCTTAGGATTTTTGGGTTTATTATTTTGGGGTTTTCGGGTTTTGGAGCTTTGGGTTTGGGGTTTTGGATTAGGGGTGTTAGGGCTACGGGTTTAGGGACAATAAGATATGTTTGTCGAAGATTGCCTTCTTCAGCCGAAAGGCGGTCGCTTCTGCATTGACGGCCTGTATTATTCCATTCCGATGATGAATACCCTAAACCCTAACCCTAAACCCTAAACCCTAAACTTCCTGGCAACAAGTTTATCATCAGTCTTACTTTGATTTCCTAAAGTCTTTCTCCTCTAAAAAGCTGCCACCTTGTTCACATCGATCACGAGCGCGCACAGGTCGATGATCTGTGCGCCACCTGTCAGGCGTGGTAAGCCCCTAAAACCGAAACCCAAAACCCCTGAACCCAAAACCCGCAACCCTCAACCCTAAACCCTATACCCTGAACCCTATATAAACCCTAAACCCTAAACACTCAACCCTAAACCTTATAAACCCTAGACCCTAAACTCGCATAGCAGAAGCGAGGAGAAAGCCGTACTCGCTTCTATGCAGGAAGCTTGGGCCGGCATAGGAAAGAATTCGGGCTTCGGGCTGAGGGGCTCAGAGTTTAGGATTTAGAGTTTAGGATGTGTTTTCTTTAGGCTTTGTTTTGTGCTTTAGGGTTTAGAGTTTAGGATTTAGAGTTTAGGCTTTGTTTTCGGTTTTAGAGTTTAGGGTTAAGAGTTTGGGCTTTGTTTTGTGCTTTAGGGTTTAGAGTTTAGGATTTAGAGTCTAGGCTTTGTTTTCGGTCTTAGAGTTCAGGGTTTAGGGTTTGGAGTTTAGGCTGTGTTTTGTGCTTTAGGGTTTAGAGCTTAGGACTTAGAGTTTAGGCTTTGCTTGTTTTCAGTTTTAGAGTTTTAGGCTTAGGGCTTAGAACCTAGGCTTTGTTTTGTGCTTTAGGGTTTAGAGATTAGGATTTAGAGTTTAGGCTTTGTTTTGTGCTTTAGGGTTTAGGGTTTAGGGTTGGCAGTGGAGATCTGTAATTTAATGGCTAGAGCAGAAAACGAACGCTGGTGCTGAGGGTACCGAGTCGCAGAAGTAGCCCTCAACCCTCGACCCTAAACCCTAAACCCCCCTCAACCCTAAACCCCTAACCTGAACCCCAAAACCATAAAAACGCCCTTCTACATGACAACCTGCAGCTCTAAAGCCTACGCCCTAAACCACACCAAATAAAACCTGAATGACCCCTTATCTCCCATCAATAACCGGATCCAAAACAGCTCAGCCTTTCTGCAACTGTAACAGAAGAAATAGACAAGGCCAAAAAGTTCAAAGTTCTCCCATGGGCTATCTAAGTTATAGAGCCCCATGAAGGAACCGTTAAAGGAACCCGACGCTGATCCTAGCCGTCCGGCCTATGACGGTCCTGATCAAGGAGGCGTGCCCAGGACAGTCCACCAAGCACCACTGGATGCTGTCGAAGCCAGCAGACTGGGCCGTTCTGAGGGCTCTCCTCTAATTAAAGGAAATCCTACAGGTGGGGAGTTTAGGGTATATAGGGCTTCTATAAGGCTTCCATAAGGTATATAGACCTTCTACAAGGCTCCTATAACTGTAACCCACTACAAAAATGTCCTAGACTCAGGGCTCCTCTAAACCCTAAACCCTAAACCCTAAACCCTATTGCACCTAAACCCTAAACCGTGGGTTCACAGAGGGATTACGGTTTAGGTCTGAAGGGATGCAAAACGCATCTATAGGGGCTCCATGCGGGTTCGAAGTCTTCTGAGCAAATTATAAGGGTTCCATATGGGTTCCACCCTAAACCCTAAACCTTTAGTGTGTAGGTCTGGGGCTTAGTGCAGCGCTGGGGGCTGGAGCTTTGTCCTTGTCTTTGTTGTCTTTAGATCGTGATGGGGCAAAAAAACCAAGCTTTCGGAATAAGACTACCTTATACAAGAGCCCCGGCAGTTGAAGAGTTGGGCTTGATACGGCTGATGGACAAGATTCTGCATGACCCCAATATAGTATAGTAGTTTAGGTATATAGGGTCATGCAGGATTTTGTCCATCAACAGTAGGACGTCTAGGATTTCAGAGACTCCCATATCCCACTTAAATACTAGGAGCCTTTCTCTTAAGTTAGGATTTGGAATTTGAGGCATAAGCAGTCTAAGGACTCTCCGGTGGGGCGTGGCATCCCGACGCCCTTCCTGGCGCCGCAACACAACAACAAACACTGAACCCTTTTCATAAGTTTGAGAAGGTGGCATGGAGTCTCTGTGTACCCGAGGGTCGTGCCAGCACAAAGCGAGGATCAGGGGACTTGGTAAGTGAGGTTATGAGTACCTTAACTTGGTCTATAAGTACTTGTAAGTATAGGTACCTTCCTTATAACCTATTTACTACATTCCATGATCCTCGAAGTAGTACCAGTCCTGATTAGATGCTCGGCAATGTGCTTATAAGAATAAAGTTCCAATCCACTGAACCGGGCGACCCCGCACCAAAATTGAAACCCAAAAGCCCCAAGCCTTGAAAACCCAACACTTGCCCAAATCTACCGAAGCCGCAAGAGTTCATGTTGTCCTACAAACCCTTGTAGCACGCCTTAAATTTGAACTCTTCAAAACCACATTGCCCGAAACTTGCCCCCAGCTGCCCTCCGGCGTGGGGCCTAAACCCCAAACCCCTACAAACCGAAACCACTCAAGAGGGACCTGGATGTGCTCTGGTGCATCCGTGGAGAAGGAGGAAAAGCCGAGGTCGAGTGTGATGCCGCGCTCCTGAAAGACTGGGCCAGTGTCCAGCGTTTAGGGTTTAGGGTGTGGGGTGTAGTAAGGTTTGGGGTGGGTCAACAGACCAAGAGTTGTAGGATTCCGGTTTCTACAAGGGTCCCCAACGGTCCGATAGCATTTTGGGGTGCTTCTAGGGTTTCGGGCCCAGGGTTATATGAGTGCCTGAAATAATAGTTGGTTACATTGACTGGGGCTTGCGCAGGGGGACAATAAGCGATTTTGCTGAACAGTTCGCAAGCCTCTATGTATGACCGAAATTCCTCAGCCTTATAAAACCCTATGTAAACCCGAATTAAGCGCCTTACAAATCCCTTAAGGGGAACATTATAATTATATTGAATTGTAGATTCCTTAAAGGCATAAAGCCCTAAACCACCAAACCCCTACCCCCAAAAAAGCAAGGAGCCCAGCATGCTCCCAGCTCCTGGGACTCTCTGCTCTTGTCCATAGATGCCGTGGAAGTGACCTGAGGCTGCTTGCGCAGTCCTGAACCTTTAGGGTTTAAGGTTTAGGGATTAGGGTTTAGGGTTTAGGGTTTGGGGTTTGGGGTTTGGGATAAGGGCTCCTTTGAGGGTTCCGTTATAGGGTGTAGCTTAAGCTTTTGCAGTCATAGAGCTTATAAGCCCTGAAGCTCACACATCGCAGACAGACACGGTGTAGAGTTTTACGTTTCGGGTTTGGGGGTTTAGTGGCTCTTGGCACCTAAACCCTGAACCCTAAACCCCAAACCCTAAACCACTCTCTCCGACGAAAACAGCCAGGCGACCGTAGACAGCATCTTGCCTGGGACTTCGCGGAGTTTGGGGTTTATAGGGTTTAGGGTCGATAGGCTTTGGGGGTTCGTTATACCATACTTACATTAAGGAGCCCTTAAGGGGATATTAATGTAGGGCCTGAATAATTAGAATAGGGTTTTGGGGCGCCACAAAATAGCATTCGTAATTATTTAGCCCCCCCTTCTTCTAGCTAATTCTTGAAGCTAAGCCTGTCGCGTTCTCAAAGTGAGCCCCAAAATGACGCAAAAACACCTGGACCTGCCACTGGCACCAAGCAGCGACTAGAGCAGCTAGGGTTAAAGGTTTAGGGTCTAGGGGTAGGGCCTTTGCAGGAGCTGGGGCTCTTCAGGGCCTCCATCGCAGCTTGGACACAGATCGAGGTCTTTCCACTGTCGATATGTCCAAGGACGCCGAGGTTGACGTTGAGAGCCTCAGAGGTTGGCATTGAGGGCCTCAGAGCAAGTCGCTGAGACCTTTTTGGGCGATTTGGTAGCCCTAAACCTAAACCCAAAGCCCTAAACCATGAACCCTAAATCCTAGACCCTAAACCCTAAGCCCGAAACACTGAACCCTAAACCCTAGACCCTAAACCCTGAACCCTGAACCCTAAACTCTAAGCCCTAAGCCCTAAACCCTGGCATGTAAGAGGTGAGATTGTGACGGAGTCGAAGCTGCATGTGCTCAGACCTCACAAAAGCTGCAACTCGAACCCTCGAGTCGACCAAGCCCCAAAAATCCAACTGAACGCTTCGAATATAGGTTTAGGGGTTAGGGTTTTAGGGTTTAGGGTTGTAGAGTTTAGGGTTTTAGGGTTTTAAGGTTTAGGGTCATGATACAGGGGCCTTCATAATTTGAATAGGGTTTGGGGGGCCCAGTATACTATAATTATTCTAATAAGGAGCCCGCCAAAATGGTATAGGTACGTATTAAGGCCCCTACATTAGACCTTAACCTCACTTGGGGGATCAGGAGACTTAGTAGGTAAAGCTACAGGTACCTCAATTGAGGTTATAAGCAATCATAAGCATACTTACCTTATCTGGCCTAAACCCTAAACCCTAAACCCTAGTTACTAAGTCCCATGATCCGGCAATATAGGCTTGAAGCCTTAACAGTAAACCCCTAAACCCAAGACCCCCCCAAGACCCCTAATTACTAATCCCTAAACCCTAACAAAAACCCTAAACCCTAAACCCTAAACTTAAACCCTAGCAATCCTAAACCCTAAACTGGCCCTGAACCCTAAACCTAAACCCTACTGATCCTAAGCCCTAAACCCTAGAAATACAGAATCCTGAACCCTAAACCCTGGGAGTCCTCAACCCGCAAACCTAAACCGCAGGATTCCCAAAGTCCCTTTTGGGTTTAGGGTTTAGGGTTTTGGGTTTAGGGTTTAGGGTCTAGGGTTTAGGGTTCAGGGTTTAGGGTTTAGGGTTCAGGGTTTAGGGTTTAGGGTTTAGGGCTTAGGGTTTAGGGCAGACCCTGAGGTGCCAACTTTTCGCTTCGCTTTCTCGTCCTTCTCCGGCATGGCTGCAAGGCTAGGAAGGCCCTGAAAGGCTCCGCGTGGCTCCGCGTGCAAGTGACCTAGGGCTCCTAGAAATAGCTGCTTTTTAGGCTTCGGGAGGGTTTAGGGTTTAGGGTTTAGGGTTTAGGGTTGAGGGCTGCTTCGAAAAAGGTTACTCTCAGGGCTACTATGGGGTATGGGGGTAGAGGGCCTCAAAGACATCAGCTTAGTGTTCTGGTGGTATAATGTTCTATATTCAGAACAAAAAAGATGAGGGGATATGATTCCTTGTGATTCTGACCCCCAAATCAGGTGATGGAAGGGTGCTTGTCTGCGTTGCGGCCGCAAGACGACTTGTGACCCCGTTCTGTGGCTGCATCTACTGAAGCTGTCTGGATGAATACCGACAGGCCCAGAACACGCCAGAGTGGCATTGCACATCATTTGCTGTCTTCATCACAGCATGATATTGCGGTGGCACATGTTTGCGCTACTGCGCCGGCTTGCAAAAGGAGCCGTTTCAGCAACAGGTGGCAAGCGTGGGGAATCGTGGAGCCCCCACTTCAAGGCTAATTATTTTTTGGCCAACCGCATCATGGCGAAGTAGAGACTACAACATGTCAACCTACCCTTGACAAAACCTAAATCCCTCAAATACCTGCTGCCCTGAACCCTGAGCCCTCAAGCCCAAATCCTGTAAAAACTCCATGGAACCCCGTTGAACCGGAAACCGGTCTCGATCAGGTTTAGAATTCCAAAGACCCTAATCCCCAAACCCTCAAGCCAGCAAGTGTTTAAGAGTTTGGAGTTTAGGACGTAATGTCGTGGCCTAAACAAGTACCAATACTATGTTTTTTTTTTGGGGGGGGGTTGGGGTCCCTTATATGATTCTAGTATCTACCCCAAGACCCTATTCTAATATTTGAGGCCCTCATATTACGGTTTCGACCCTTGAACCCTCAGACCCGAAACTCTGAGTTCCCCAGTAACCGCTCAATCATCAGGGTACCCTTGTTCCGAATATTCGGTTTTAATAAGGAGGCCACAAACTAAAACAGGGGCAAAAGGGTAAAACTGGGGAACCTAGTCAGTTTAGGGTTTAGTGTAGCATGCCCAGTTGGCGGGAGAGAGCAACCCGCTCTTACCTCGGTCGTCTGCTGCCAGCTGCGGTACCCCTTGGGCTTTTGGGATTTAGGGGCTTTTTTGGTTTAGGGCTATACCTTAAGAACCCAAAATCCACTTTTGTGTAGGTTCTTATTATAAAGCCGAATATGGGATTTCTAGGGACCCTACAAAAAAATAGGTTTTGGGTTCTTAAGGTGGGGCTGAAGGTTCTAGGAGGCTTACCCACGTTATGGATGTTTGACGAACACTTTTGAACATCGGATTGACGGCTTAGGGTTCAGGGTTCAGGGTTAGGGTTTATGGGTTTAGGGTTTAGGGTTTAGGGGTTAGGGTTTAGGGTTTAGGGTTTAGGGTTTAGGTAGTCCGGTGGAGGTTTTCTGCGTTTCGGGCTTAGGGCTTTGGGGTGTTCACGCGATTGAGGGGGGGTTAGGATTTAACTCTTCTTAGGGTTGAGGCTCCAACCCTAAACCTTGAACCCTAAACCCTGCACCGCCTTACACCCTAAACCCTAACCCTCAAGAGAAAAACACATATGAAATTGCATGTCTTCCTTCACATTGAACTCCCTAGGCCCCAGCCCCAGCCCGCCAAAGGGTTTAGGGTTTAGGGTTTAGGATATAGGGCTTCTATAAGGCCTCTATAAGGTATATAGACCTTCTATAAGGCTCCCAAAACGGTAACTACCCACCTGAAAATGTGAAAAAGTCCCTAGACATGGAGGAGCAAATGACTGGGATCCTTTGGGCTTCCTACAGGGGATCGATAAGGGTAGTTCTCTGAATTAGGCTCCCTTCTTAGATCCCAAATTATGTACGGCACCCTTATAAACAGGACCCTAAACAAGACCCCAACAAAGGGGTTCTGGGTCAAGGGGCTTAGAAAGTCAGGTTGTATGTACCTTACCTCAGTTGGGGGTTGTAAGCACGAATATGTATAGCGACTGTACTTGAAACCCCAGCTACTAGGTCCCATGATCCGCCAAGTACACACATCAAGCCTGAACTCGAAGCCTTACGAAATCCTGAGCCCTAAACTCTAAACCCTAAACCCCAAGATATTTTGGTAACCTTGTAGATCCCTGATGGGAAGCCTTCTACGTCCTTTACAGGAGCCCTGAGCCTCGAGGGCTGTCTTGATTCGAAGTTCATAAACATTCCGGCTCGTGGCTTTAGGCTTCAACGTTGCTTTTGGTAGCTACGGCTTAGTGTTGAGGGGCTTGAGGCTTGAGGTGTAGCGGTCTAGAGGTTTAGGGGTTTCAGGGCCTTAGCGGCTTAGGGTTGTCAGGTTAACGGCTCCAGGGTTTAATTAGGGTGTAGGGTTTAGGCTTTCGGTTGCATTTTCCCTGATCCGCGCTTGGGGTCAACTGGTTCTCGCTGCGCGTCCTATCGAAGGATTTGCATTCTGCAGCAGTACATCTCACTTTTTACTATGGTTCAGGGTTTAGGATTTACGGCTTAAGGGTTTTAAGCCTATGTTTTAAAGGTCATGAGGCAGGTCATTTCTGGCTACAACTCCGATTGAATCTTAGCACATCTCCAACACCTAGCATCGCAAGGTTTGCGAGTTGCTCACGCGGGACTTGCCCTAATTTCCTGCCGGCACAAGTGGATGGTGAGGGTTTAGAGTGATTTAGGGTTTAGGGTGAATAAACCCTAAACCCGAAGGCCCTCAGACACGAAACCAGGCAAAACAGATGGGTCAGAAATGGTAAGACCTTGCAAGTGCAGCATGCCCCCTGCCCTCTGACCAGGATTAGGGTTTAGGGTTTTGGGGTTTAGGGTTTAGTGTTTAGGTGTTAGGGGTTTCGGGGTTTCGGGGTTTCGGGGTTTAGGGTTTAGGGTTTAGGGCTTAGGGTTTAAGGTTTAGGGTTTAGGGCTTTAGGGTTAGAATGCTGAGGACATGGCAGCCACAACCTCCTTGCGGAGCTCTCCGGAGAAATCTCCCACCAGTTCGTCCTCGATCAGCTAAGGGATCTGCACACTGGTAGTTCTCTAAATTAGGTCCCATTTTTTTAGGTCCCCAAGAATAGTACGGCACCCGTATAGAAAGGACCCTAAGAGGGACCCTAATTGAGACAACTATCCACATTCCGGAATGCAAGGTCATTCAAGCAATCTTTCAGAACCCTACACAGACCCTCACAAACCCTGGTGAATCCTATAAACCTGTTGAGTGAATAGGGTGTAGCATGGACATAGAGTAAATCAGCGTTCTCAGAACCCCTAAACCCGCCGAAACCCTAAACC